TATTTTATCAAATTTATTATTATTATTATTTATAAATAAATGAAACATTTCAAATGTTCAATTTATTAAATAAAGGAGACATTTTAAATGTCATCTTAATTAAATAAATCAAACATTTAAAATGTCATACAGTATAATTTTTTTTTCATTATTTATAATAGTTTAGATTATATAGCTATTATAAAATACATTTTTAAAGCTATCAATAATATATATGTGGCATTGAAGTTGTTAGAAGCTGATATTTTACATTTTAAATATGTCTCTTTTGTTTGATTTTTTCTGTGTTTGATTATGAAACCCCATCTACTAACATATTAAAACAGTGTACAAAATGTGATGTTACTAGAACTTATATTCTACTTATGTAGAGCTTTCTAATATTCCATCTTTCTGAGGCAGAGGGACATTATTCTTGGTTTAATTATTTTTTAATTTAATATCTCTGGATATTTTTCAAATTTAGTTTGCGTACAACAGTTAACAACTTTAAGCTTATACATTAACTTTAATTATAACTTAATTATTAATGATTTGATTTATAGATTTTTAAAGCAATACAAGATTGAATTTAGCATAAAAAATGACCAGTCAAAATAAAGATTGAAGAGACAAAAAATTGTGTATATCTTGGTGTAGATGATTTATCCTCATTTTCTTATAATAAAACAAAAAATATTATTAAACTTTAGGATTTACCTGTAATTCCAAAATCTTTACAGAAGTTTAATGTTTGCTCTGAGAAGTTGAATGAACAAAATTATTAAATGGTAAGTGTCTAATGATTGAAAATCTTTATTCATAGCTTTAACTTTTACAAATTTAAAAACTTTTTCATATATTACGGTCAAAAAGTCAGAGTGTTAATTAACATTTTAGTATGTAATAATCAAAATATCAAAGCTTACACTACAGGCTTGGTCAGGAAGCGGGAGCGATCGCTCTCGAATACTGACCACAGAAAATATATTTAGTTGCGAAAAACTGGCCAGGTTTTTTAGTTGTTTTGAGAACATTTAAGTTTATGAACATAACAAATAATTTTTGTTGGATTTCAAAGTTGGTGTCACCAACTTTGAAAACCATTTGAAATCAAATGTTGAAAATAACAACAGTATTTGTATTTATATCAGTATTCTTATCAGTTTAAAGTTTTAACAGTTGCTGGTGATTCATTATTATTCATTATATAAACGTTTATTTAAATTTATCTAATAGACGAAGGTAATACAATCGTTTTATAGATGATATTATTTTTAAAAGTAGTGTTATTAAAATTCAGAACTAAAATATGTAAAAAAAATTATTTACAAACATTGGATAAGGTCCGTACTGTACCTTGAAAATCTGGAAAATCTGTTAATATTGGCTAAAGCCGTGGAAAACCTGGAAAAGTCAGGAAATTATTTTTTTCTTTAGATAGTCATGGAAAAATCAGTAATTCTATTTAAGAAGTTACTCGTTTCACAAATGAACGCTGTATTTTGAAAACGTGATGAGTCGCACTTTTTTTAAAAGTGAGGTTATTTGAAAAGAATATTTTCAAAAAAATATTCTTTTCAAATAACCTCATTTAAAATTAAAGAATATTAAGATAAAATAAAGATTTTTTAGATAAAATAAAGATTATTTTAGATAAAGTAAAGATTTTTTTAAAGAAAAGAAACAATCTTTAGATAAAATAAAAATAAAATTTTTCACAGGAGAAATATTTTTCACTCCCTTGTAAAATTTTAATTTTGTGACTCACATTTTCAAAATACATCGCTCAATTAAGCTATAATGTTTATTTTGGTGCTATCCATTTATTTTTTCTGAAATTTATGTTTTTCTCAGTGTTTATTCTTAGTCGTCATTGAAGTACAACTTGGTAAACTACAAAACACATCAAATTCAGTTATAAAAAAGAGTGTCATTGCTATTAAAAGCAGTGAAGAATTCAAGTACTCTGGAAGAAAAGAAAATACGTAAGTAAATGGTAAATATTTTTTTATAATTTTTTTATGCATTTTGTATGATATCTTAGTACAATTTTTATACTTTAAATAAAATACTTTTTGAAGATATTTTGTAAATTACATTTTATATTAATTTAAGTCTAAACAAAAGTTACTTTAATTATTGTCAGGTTGTGTACTTTTGCAGGTCAATTATTTGGCACAAATCGGAGTTAAAGACTAGTTGTAAAATTAAACTATGCAGGGAGAGGACAAAAAATTGGAATAGAAAAAATGTTAATTGCATACGCTGCTATTGGTAAGTGGATTAGAAAAGTTTATTTTTTCAGTTTCAATTTTGCATTACAGAATTCCTTTTAATATGTTATGTTTCTTTGGTGCATAATTAAACAAACAACTTTTTTTTTTTTGCAGAAACTGTGAAGTCAAATAAGCACGGCTTGTGCAGACATGTGATAGATATAGAGGAAGAAAAAATAAAAATCTTGGGCACCAAATATCATAAGCTAAACATTATTCAATAACAAGTAGCTCAGCCAATATTGAAACTACTCTATAAATTTTATAGTGAATTTTTTTATTTAAAACTCAATGTGTCAGTTTTTGGTTTAAGTTTGATGTTTGCAATATGTATATTTAACCGATAAATTATGTTAAATAAATAAATTTTAATACTTGTATCATACCTTCTTATTTTTCTCTATAAATTTTCAATGTAGCGATGCAAATCATCTTATTTGTAACAACGATCTAATGTTGCATAAAACGTTAGGCTGATATATAACATACGATATTGGGCCAATGTTGTATACAACGTTGGGCCAATGTTGTATGCAACGTTGGGCCAATGTTGTATACAACATTGGCCTAACGTTATATACAACGTTGGGCCAATGTTGGGTAAACGTTGTATACAACATTGGGCCAATGTTGTACACAACATTGGGCCAATACCTAACCAATGATCAAACCTGCATTGGGCCAACATCGACTTTCAACGTTGGGCCAATGCATCATCATGCATTGGCCCAACGTTGGTCCAATGTAAGCTTGCTGTCTGGGATGTAAATTAAGTTGGTTCATAAATTAGCATCAATGTATTACTTATGTTTATCAGCCTTAAGTTTTATTTAAACTGATCTGATTATTTAAATAGACATTACAAAGAAATAGTTGCGTTTTATTTAAAGAAATAGTTGCACTTTAGTTGAAGAAGTAGTTGCACTTTAGTTGAAGAAATACTTTTGGTTCAAAATGTGCACTCACCTTGACAATCTAAAACAATGTTTTTGCAAACAAATTTAAACTTTCATTATTAAAAATTATGTTGGGCCAAAGTCAGAATTTGACGTTTGTCCAACATCGGAAACCGACGTTAGGCCAACGTTGGCCCAACGGTCGGTTTTGACGTTGCGCCGACTATCAAAATGACGTTGGGCTAATATTGGTTATCGACCATATGCCAACCAATTTTTCTACGTCGGCCCAATGTTAGCGTGCTAGCTGGGTGGTAATATATCCCAGCTAGCACGCATATGTTTGGCTAATGTCGGCACAACGTCAGAGGTGTTGTTCAATTTTTTTTAACTAAGTGATAACGTTGAGCCAAAGTTGTGGCAGCGTCAGTATACGACTGAATTTTGAAATAAGTTCAGTTTGTTCCAGATTTTAATTATAATAGTTTTCTGCCATTCTTAAAAGCTTTTAAAGCACGACTTTTTTATAGAGAATTTTATTGATTGTATTTTTGATTTTGATTTTATTGTTAATAATAATTTCGAGTAGTTAAAATAATATAATAGAAACATGCTAAAATTTGTATATCGTTAAATATATAGTTTTTAATATTTCTTTAAAATCAGGATTTACTTAAATAGCTGTCGTCTGTATCTTATTAATAATTACATCGTTAAACTTTAACTTAAAGCATCTTTATCAAACACTTTTATACAAGTTTACTAAAACGATTTGGTTAAAATTTGTATCAAATTCAACTTTTATTTAGCTGTTGGTCATTTAATTTATGCAAAGAAGTTGTAAAGTAAAACATAAACAGATTGAATCACGAGAAGAAGTGGTTGTTATATTACTATGTTATATTATGTTATACAACATGTATTAGATATTGTTAGTAAATACATGTGTTTATTTTAGATAACAGATATTGTGAATAAATGTGTATACCTCATTCCTGTTTTATAGTTTTTATTCTGCATCAAAATACTATGCTGGTAAAATCCTAAATTATAATATAGTATATTACTTATTGTTTCTGTATATTATGTCTTTATTGTATGTTTTATGTTTAATTATATGCATTTGCGGCATTTTAATGGTAATATAAATTTTTATATTTCTATAATAGAATAGCGAAGCTCTAATTTTTGGGGTGAAATGTTGATACTATTTTTCAATTATTTTCTTTTTAGATGGGACATTAAAAAATGAATGCAATATAAAAAAATATGCTGACTTTTTTTTAAATAATGTTTTGTTGCCATAATTATGCAAGTAGTATATCGAAAAAAATATTTTATTATGTTTTTATTTATGTGCATTTTATTTGTATTTAGTACATATGTTTGTTGATTTTTATTTTGATACAAATTATTTATTTATAATATTTTTATTTTCAATATATTTAAATTACATATATATATATATATATATATATATATATATATATATATATATATATATATATATATATATATATATATTATATATATATATATATATATATATATTATATATATATATATATATATATATATATATATATATATATATATATATATATATATATATATATATATGTATATGTATATATATATATATATATATATATATATATATATATATATATATATATGTATATATATATATATATATATATATATATATATATATATATATACATGTTTGTACAACTTTTCTTCCAATCATTTGACATTTTACCTTCATATACAATTGCATTGCAACGGTCCAGCAGGACCAGCAGAGCCTAACTGAGCCTTCTGAATAGCTAATTTCACTTCACTACATGTTATCTGCTCTGCTAATCCACTAACCTTATTCACTGCAGATAAACTTTCCTTCTTCCATCCAAACTTTTCATTTAGCAATTTTTCAAAATGAGCGCCATTCACCTTGTTTTTACCGCAACAATATACATATATATATATATATATATATATATATATATATATATATATATATATATATATATATATATATATATATATATATATATATATATATATATATATATATATATATATATATATATATATATATATATATATATATATATATATATATATTTATATATATATATATACATATATATATATATATATTATATATATATATATATATTATATATATATATATATATATATATATATATATATATATATATATATAGTGTGTGTGTGCTAATATATATATATATATATATATATATATATATATATATATATATATATATATATATATATTTATATATATATATATATATATATATATATATATATATATATATATATATATATAGTATATATATATATATATATATATATATATATATATATATATATATATATATATAGTATATATATAAACACACACTAATGTCTGAGTTATAATTCTTATAGTTTTAGTAGCAGTTATGGCAATGTCTAAAGCTTGTTGCTCTCAAGCGAAATGAAGATTCAAGATTTGTAAGGATGCTTAGCAGTTGAGAAGAACATTAATATCTTTTAATATATTTTGTACGAATATTTTAACATAATTATAATAGTTATTACAACAAGATTTGATTTTCTCGATGTAATTGTTAAATTAAAGTTGATTCATCATCAAATTTAATTTAAACTCACTTGGACGTTGCATTTTAATGAACATTACAAAGAAATAATTGCACTTTTTAAAATAGTTGCACTATTTAAAGAAATGGTTGCACGTTATATAAAAAATTGGTTGGACATTATTTATAGAAATGGTTGGTCTTTATTTAAAAAAATAGTTGCGCCTTTTTTAAAGAAATGTACTTTACTTTCGTTGCACTTAAGTCGAAGAAATAGTTTTACGTTGTTTTCAAAAACATTGTTTTTGATTCAAAAGATATGCACACCTATTGAATCAAAAACAAAGTTTTTGAAAAAACGAATTAAATCTATTATTATTATTTAAATATTACGTTGGACCAACGTCAAAATGCGACGCTCGCCCAACTTCGAAATTCGACGTCGGGCCAACGTTAGCGCAACGGTTGGTTGCGACATCGCGTCAACTATCAAATCCACGTTGGCTTGACGTCGATTACTGACCATCGGCCAACGAATTTTTTGACGTCGATCCGTCGTTAGGCTAACGTCAATGTGCTAGCTGGGTATATAAATACATATACATATATATATATATACATATATATATATATATATATATATATATATATATATATATATATATATATATATATATATATATATATATATATATATATATATATACGTTTATATATATGTATATATATACGTATATATAAACGTATATATATACATATTTATTTATATATATTTATATATACCATATTTATTTATATATATTTATATATATATATATATAAATATATATATAATATATATATATATATATATATATATATATATATATATATATATATATATATATATATTTATATATATATATATATAAATATATATAAATAAATATGGTCTGACCCCCATACTGCACCTATCTTTGAAATGATCTTTGGGTCAATGGACCAGGCTTGTTAAGTCGATATCGCTTGAAATCCTCATATGTAAGTTCTAAAAAAAAAATTAATTTATACTTTAATAAATTTAACTATAGGAGCAATATTAGAATAAAATTAATGTCACCCATCATTTTTTCTTAACTTTTTTATTTATAGTCAAGTCTTTACTTCATTAAAGTAGATAATATAGTTGTAAGTAAGAATTTAGAATTACCATTTGAGGCTTTATACCTAAACAGAATAGAGATATATTTACAGATTCGTCTTCCTTGCTGAAAGAAAGATAAAAAAACTTAGAAAAGACATAATAAAGTTTCACCATTGGAAGAGCTGGCCGTTGACAATTCATCTAGATAAAAAAATTTAATAAATGAACATTTGAATTTTTTTTCCCAACATATGTGACTAAGATATATATAAAAATATTAAAAATATTGTCAAGTAAAATGAAAAACTTAATAATCTTGCCTTTGCAGAAGAACTTAAAAAAAAAGTTTGAAAATTTAATATAATTTCTTAAATTAATCTTGAATGATATATTTTAGAATATTCATCATAAGATATACATTAGTAAATATATATTTTATATATTAGAAATTACATTATTTTATTTATTGGTAAATATAATTACTTCACGTGGTTGTTGTGTATAGTGGTACAGTAGTTATAAGATCAAATGTACCTGGTAGTACCGCACTTAACTTGTTTCTTAGCACAGCGGCCTTGTTTTACAATGTTTGTGTTTCAAAATTTTAATTT